CAGCTTGTATTTTTAACAAGCGACCTGCAATGATTTCCTCAGTAACACAAGAGATAGGTAAAAAATCTCTAGAAAACAAGATACCCACTCCACCACTGTTGCTACACTTATGACTGAGAAAAACTTCCCCATCCCAATCTTTCTTCCATGCAATTTCACTTTCAGCTGTGCTATGTGTCTCTTGTAAAAAAATTACATTTAGTTGTTTAACTTTAAACAAACTGATGAGAGAAACTCTCTTCACGTCCTCTCTGGCACCATTAACGTTTAAAGAACCCAACTTTATGTCACACATAGTAAATGTTAAGTTGCATTTAAACAGAACAGAGAGGTTAACGCAAACAAAGAAAAAGAAAAACGAAAGACACTTAACCATCATTAACTAGTTGTGCTCTCGCTTTTATAAGAAATTTTTTCAAACGAAAAATTTCTTGATCTGTAAAGGTCAGTTGGCCAGGGTTTTCTGTATTTTTCATGAACAATTTGACTGAATCAATGAACAACTTTAAATCTGGAAAAAACTCATCAATTTTCACCAATCTCAAACCTTTAGTTCTTTGTAAAAAGGACTGAATTTTCGTGAAAGAGTAAGCACTCTCCACATCCATCTGTGTGTCTCCACTAACATCACTTTCAGACTCTTGCGTGTTCATCAACACATCATCTGACTGAGAAGAGCAACTCATAGGATTGACAGTTTGGAAATTTCAGCATCCAACAAAACATCTTCCTCATTAAACAACACTGACTCAGCTACTCTAGTCGCGGTTTGACCAACATTTAGATCCTCGTTTAAACCATCTTGTGCGTTTTGATCACTCGCTACATTTTCTGTCTGCTCATTCTCCTGATCGCTATCATCTCGGTTTTCTTCCTGCGCAGTTCTCTGCGGTTCGCCAGGTAAAGGAGCCCCGCTTTCGGCCCGAACGGGCGGCGGAACCGCTGCGTCAACAGCGTCTCCCCTGCTCTCTCTGGGCACGAGCGAATCAAATGCCCTACAGTCCCACACCCAAAGCATTTCATCGTCTCTGATGTTACATGCACAGTGTAGTCAAAGTCATCAACCTTAAATTTAAACACTAGATTTAATTCTTCATTTCTCTTGTTAAGAATCATGTGTACATGTCTCCTAAAAGACACAACGTGTTTGAGATGAGGAGACTTGCAGCTGATAGGAATCATCTTTATCGGAGTCACTAGTTTTCCGTGTCTGCCTAGCTCTTTTTCTAAAAGCTCATTTTTCATAAACGGGGGTATATTCGAAATTATGACTTTTTTAGCAGGGTTTACAAGAGACAGAACTGGTGTGTATGTGTCCTGAATCACAATTCCACTTTCAAGTAACTGATTTACTTTGTCCACACTGTCTAAAAAAATCACAATGGCACTATTCATCCTAGAAGCCGATTTGATACTGTCATAACCGACAATCTCACCCACCGCTAGACTACAATCCTCAACCGAGCACCCGTTAGGCGGAGAAAGTTTAATAGCGTGTCGGCGCGTGAGTTTGTGCAAACTACCGTGTTCACCTGCTGCAGCCATGCTGACAGCCACGCCGCCGCCGCCTCCACCAAACAAACACAAACGAACCCCAATAAACACTGTTTCTCCAAACAACTCCTCAAAGCATCAACAGAGAAACAAAAGTTTTGAAAGAAAAGAGAAGTAGAGAACTCACATTCAGCACGCTCTCAGCAGCACTCACCGCACTCACTCCCAACACGCACTCACAGAGAGAGAGAGAGAGAGAGAGAGAGAGAGAGAGAGAGAGAGAGAGAGAGAGAGAGAGAGAGAGAGAGAGAGAGAGAGAGAGAGAGAGAGAGAGAGAGAGAGAGAGAGAGAGAGAGAGAGAGAGAGAGAGAGAGACTCGTTCATCTCAGGCCTCCCAGAACTGATCTCTGGACACCGAAAATGAGTTTAAAACAGAGTGAAAGACAAAAAACTCAAGCCAACTTCTCTAGTTTATGATTTAAGGAGATTGCTAACATTATGATGTGGTTGCTATAGTAACATGTTTCTATGGACAGTGGGGTTATTATGGGCTTATACTTCCTGCACACAGGATGTCAGACGGACTCTGTGTTGTTGGATTGACGAGTCGACTGATCAAGGATCGGATGTGGGTCTTAATTTTCACCGTTAAACTTTGGCCAATCAGAATGAGTTTGGCTCATCATGTGACTGATGTGTAACTACTTAATTAAGTGATCTTTCCTGACCCCCTTTTGACTCATTTGTGGTATAAATAGAGGATCACTTACATTTCATTACATGAAGAGAGTGTTCAATATTAATATTTTTGCTCATTTGAGCTAATATTAATAGGTTTTCCCAGACGTCTGGAAGATGATCTGCTTTATTAATTATTGTGGCACTGAGTTAATTTGGACACACAGTCATCAACTAATGAGAACATGAAGTCAGTTTAGATGAACAAATAATTAAATCCATCTTTAATCTTTAAAGACCTTTTGAAAAGGCATGTTTCCTTTTCTGTGTTGACTTATTTTGTGAAACAGGGACATTTTGAAGGTGTGATCCCTTTTTTGTAAATAGCTAGTAGCTTTTAGTTTAAGCCACAGCCTGACAAAATTACACTTGATTGCTTGTATTATGGGTAAAAACAAGGAAGATACTTTCAAAGTGAATAAATCTACACCTTTTCCTTTGTGAGAGGAAAATAAGCTATTAGTATTGGCACAAACAAAGTCACACATCATCAAACCAGAATTTGCTAATAGCTAATGCTAACAGACAGTACTTGTAAAATAAAGGGAAGGGATATTCGTATTCCCTGGTCTTAATGACTTATTGTAGCCTAAAAAGCACAGTTTTGACCCGAATTAAGCTAAAGAAGCTAATTTAAATGACATCATGATGTCTGCTGATTCTGGAAAACACACTGTTCTAGTTCTTTTGGATCTGTCCTCAGTCTTTGACACGGTCGACCACCAGGTTTTGCTGAAAAGATTAAGGGATCAAGTAGGGCTGTCAGGGTCAGTTCTGCAGTAGTTCACCTCATATTTATCTGGGCGTAGTTTCAGTGTTACAGCTAACCAAATAAGGTCTGAGTCTGCGGACTTGCTCTGTGGAGTGCCTCAAGGCTCCGTTCTGGGTCCTGTTTTATTTTTGTTGTATTTGATCCCTTTTTGGAAAGATCATATAAAGGTTCAGTGATGTTTCTTTTCACTTATTTGCTGATGATATCCAACTTTACTGCTGCTTTAAGCCGTCAGAGATCTGTAAGTTAAACTCCTTGCTCCTTTGTCTTGTGGAAATTAAAAAATGGCTAAGTGATAACTCCCTGCAGCTAAATGCAGACAAAACAGAAACACTGATTAAACAATACTTGGGTGATTTAGGCCAGTCTGCTAAGCCAAGTCTTAGAAATTTGGGAGTTATCCTGGACAAAGACATGTCATTAGTGCAGCACTGCAAGCAGCTGACGAGAAACTGCTTCTTTCAATTAAGGAAAATCTCGAAACTTAGAAATATGGTTTCACGAAATGATTTGGAGCTTATCATTCATGCCTTTGTGTCTTCGCGTTTAGACTACCGGTATTGTAATAGTTTATTTTCATGCCTAAACCAGAAGGAGCTCTCTCAACTGCAATTAGTACAAAACTCTGCAGCCAGGAGGTCTCACAAATCCTCTATCCTAAAAGAACTTCACTGGCTACCAGTGTCGTATACATTTGAAAATTTTGGTTTTAGTTTTCAGAGCTTTGCATGGTCAGGCACCCCCCTTATATTAGTGACCTAATAGGTTGTGTCCCACCGTCTATGCGCTCTCTTGACTCTGTTGATGCCTTCAAATGCAGACTAAAGACTCATTTATTTGTTCAGGCTTTTAATTAGCTGCTTGTGGGTTGATATGATCATGTACTGTCTATGCTTTTATTGTGTGTATTTTATGATATAAATGTTTTCTTGTGAAGCACTTTGTGGCCTTATACCTGTGAAAGGTGCTATATAAATAAACTTTTACTTACTTTTACTTACTTACTTTACTTTTAATTTATTATCACCCTGTCACATGAGATATGCTTGACAAGGAAACTTTTATTCTGAAATATACACTGGAAAAGCTTAAATTTGTTTTTAGCTTTCTAAATCCTTTTTTATTGCAGGAAAGGTAATTCTTGCGTTTGTTTTTGGCAGATTGTTGTTAACCTTTATTACACTTCTTAAAATTCTTCTTTAAAACAAACACGCATTATCATTGTTATATATATATTCAAATTTCATATAATAAAATTAAATTAAATAAGGTGGGTTAATCTATATTGCAAATCATTTTGAGAGTTTTCTTGCTTGAAAGGATCTTTCTCAGGGGAAATTAATGCTCAGAAGTTGCTCTTTCAAAGAAGACTTAATGGAGATCTCATTTATAATTGAGTATCAATTTTTATCAGATGTTTCTCCTGTATTTCTTAGGAAAATAAAATCAGTCATAAACGAGGCAGATGTTGACATGCATCAAGTGTATAGTGATATAAAATAAATGTGGATGGTATAGCTCAGATCATTCGGTTTTGAAATAAATTCAAAGGAAATTGTTTGACTCTGACTTTTGATGGCAGACTTTGGTAACTTTTGGTATCACAGTTTAAGACTTTTTTTTTTTTGTAGAGACAAGTTTTTCCTCAGGAGAGCAAAAGCCATAATGTACTGCCATTAATGTTGAGGAGAAACAACAGAGATCTATTTAAGAAAGAATAGCTATTTCATCCGTGGCTACATATGGGTTATTAAAGTCAAATCATGCTGTTGATGGTATTTTTGTGGGTGTGTTTGTCTATTCTGGTTTTCCTTTGATGGACGGTGTGATTTCATTTGCTCTGGTTCGTTCTTCTGAACTCGTGAACGTCCGCAGGGCTCTTAAAGAGCAGAAATTATTCTGAATGATTCTTGAGTTCCTCTTGTAATGGATTTTTAAATGATAGAGAACCAGAACAGTTGATAAAACCTCTGTGTTTTTTGTTTCCCATGTTCAGACATGATGACCTGAAGGAGATGCTGGACAGTAATAAAGACTCCCTGAAGCTGGAGGCCATGAAACGCATCGTGGCGGTGAGAAAAACACACACACTTCAAAATTTTATTTTACTACTGTTTTTTTGCCTTGTTTTCCAATACAAATATCTAAACATTCTTAATCAAGATACTTTTATTTGAGATATAAAATCTCAAATCCTATGTTCTAAAAAATGTATCAAAATTAAGTGAGTTTTTGCTTAAAACAAGAAAATATCCTTTGCTTAAAATATCTGTCAATGGGGTGAGAAAAATAAACTTGTTTTCCCTTTGAATTAGGTTTTATTTTTTCCACCCCCATTGGGAGTTATTTTTTTCTAGTTCTGAATAAAATAAGACTTCTTATCTCACAATTCTGAACTTTCTCTCAGAATTGTGAGTTATAAAATCCGAATTGCGAGATATAATTCTGAGAAGAAAGTCAGCCTTTTTTAGCCATCATCATTGGACTTCATAAATCGCAATTGCAACAATTCTGAGAAAATATTGTCTTTTAAAATGTTTCATTCAGTGGCGGAAACTATAGTGTCCATATAAAACAGAGCGCCGTGTGCTGGGTAATGTGTCCCACAATGAAATTCTATAAATTGAATTGTCTCATGCACCAATGTTGTTTGATGCACAGCTGGACTGTGAAATTTGGCATAATTGGCCATAATAGTCCCAGCATCCCTTTCGAGACATCAGGTTCAGGTTTTTTTTAGCTGTAATGATGAACAGAAGACAACCAGAAAACAGTCTTATACATGGAAAACTAAGTCAGATAAAAAAAAAAAAAACTGATTGTTAAGCGTTTCAGGAAGAGATATTTGGATTCATGTCGGTAATTATATGACTGAGTAAATAGACAGAAGGATGTATTCGTGGGCAGTAAATGCCTCTGTCGCTGTGTGTTTGGTGAAGTCTTGACTCTCGCTCCGTTGTAACTGTTGCATCAGCTCTGGTTCTGTAGCGAGACGAGGGATTTCAGCAGCGCTTTGGAAATGGGACAGAAATGCGTAATGCGTTTAATATTCATGAGCGGTTTTAGTGTCTCTCTATTGTGTAGGATTAGATCAGGACTGAAATATTTATCAGTCAGAGCTCGGAAGCCACGAACAGCCACCTGATACTGTTTCCATTCACAGAGCACAGGTGGCAGCGGCAGCAGGGAGATGATTCCTTCAGGATCGCTCCGAACGCAAATGATTCAACTCAAATTTGACCCTTTTTGCTTTTTACTGTGAATGATCCATCAGTACATGTTATAAAAAACGTGTTCTTGTCTAGTTGCAAACAAATGCAACCAGTATCATCATAGAAACAAAATTGCCCTCTTTCTCATAAATAGTGCTTGGAAGTCTAAATCATTTTAGTTAATTGGTGTTTTGTTATACTTTCCGTATTGTAGTGTAATGCTATCCTTATTGTTTCTGATCTGATCTGGTCGCATAAATAAATTAGATTAGGTGAAAGTAATATGTTTATAAAATATACATGTATTTTTATATTATTTATGTAAGAAATAGATATGATGTTCTTTTTTATAAGGAGACTTTTTTACATACACTAGTACTACCGTTCAAAAGTTTGGGTTTAGTACGCCTTTTTTTAAAGGAATTAATAGTTATTTTGCAAGGACGGATTAAATTTATCAATTTAATTGTCAGCAAAGACATTTATAATGTACTTGTGACACCTGTTTGGACTTTGTTCTGCCTTCTGTGTTTGTGCACCATGTGTTTCACTGGTAATCGGTTTCACCTGTTACCTGTCATCATCCTCATCACAGACATCATCACTCACTGTGTGCAGCTGTTGTCACTTAGTCTCCTCATTTGTCTGTGTATATAGTCTCCCTAGTTTCAGTTCTCCCTTGTTGGTTCTCGTCTACACAGTTTGCTACGCATCTTGTACGTAAATAAATAGAGTTTAAGCCTGATCCGTCTTCCTGAACGTGCCTCACGCAGCCAAAGCGTGACAGTAACACAACATGTTTCTATTTCAAATAAATGCTGTTCTTTTGAACTTTCTCTTCATCAAAGAATCCTGAAAAAAAAATCCTCAAAAAATATTAAGCAGCACAACTTTTATCAACATTGATAATAATAAGAGAAGTTTCTTGAGGAGCAAATTAGCATATTCGAATGATTTCTGAAGAATCATGTGTCTATCTATCTATCTATCTATCTATCTATCTATCTATCTATCTATCTATCTATCTATCTATCTATCTATCTATCTATCTATCTATCTATCTATCTATCTATCTATCTATCTATCTATCTATGTCTGTCTGTCTGTCTGTCTGTCTGTCTTACTGTCTGTCTGTCTATCTATCTATCTATCTATCTATCTATCTATCTATCTATCTATCTATCTATCTATCTATCTATCTATCTATCTATCTATCTATCTATGTCTGTCTGTCTGTCTGTCTTACTGTCTGTCTGTCTATCTATCTATCTGTCTGTCTATCTA